TGTTTTCAACCAATTCCGGAAGCACCTCGCAATATGGACGAGTTGCATAGCACATATACACGCGGCAAGACAGATACATATTGGCTGGTGAGGCATAATGCGTGGGTCGTGTTGTGGGAGGATCGACATCGGTGTCTTCCCTGTAGAGAGCCCATTTTACTTGATCTCTTGATGGTTGCTGATGGTTATTACGAGTGGTTCAACAGTAATAGGAATCCGTTTCTGCTTCTCGAGGATGAACGAGGGCAGACCTTTCCGCGACATCGATAGAGACGTTCACCGACACAGCACCATCGTCCTCCGACTCGTGGACGGAGAGCATGTGCTTCCGGTTCATTCTCAGCTGCACCAGCAGAACCTTCACAGCAACCACAGTTTCCACCGGCTTACATACCGCAACCATATATGATGTCATCACCGTCTTTCCATTACCAGATACCATCGTCTTTCCATTACTAGATGCCACCTCTGCCGCCTTCACCTAGTTTAATGACCCCGTCGCCGACACCACCGTCACAGAGTTATATGACCCCTCTTGGAGGCTATTATAGGTCTATGTTTGCTGATCCGACTTAGGATTCATATGCTCACATTTTGGCGGGTTCAATCTCATCACTCATGGTCGCAGCACAAACACCTCCTGTACAGTTTTCACACTCAGCGATGTCTGGGTTTTATGAGTTTTCCCAGTTTTCGCAGGCCATTCGGATAGTCAGTCATACACCTCGAGGGTCCTTATTCTATGGAGGTGCTTCATCGTCATCAGATCCTCATCAACAAAATGTAGCTGCTCAGGACGATGGCGACGATGACGACGATGATGACAACAATGAGTCATAACTAGTGATACGAAGAAATTTTCCTCGAGACCGATAGCCACTGCCCTGCGGAACACATTCGCGTCGCATGCATCAATAGATTTTGTTTTTTTATACTTGTTTTTAGTACTTTTTATTGAAGTTGTTTATTGGACTTTTTTATTGTAATTTTTTTTATTTATCATTTAATACTTACTTTGTTAATTTATCATTTAATATAAGTTATTGTAATTTGGTTATTATTTATATTTTAATACTTATTGTATCGTTAATATCAATTATTCGTTAATATAATGCCAACGTCTAATCTTGTATAATTGTATCATTTTTTTAATCTTCATCAGTGGTTATCGAATAACATTAACTTGAAGTAAATGCAAAGTAAAGTACAAGAATTATTATTTGATAAACAACTACATCATTTTCACATCAATTGTTACTTGATGACAATAGAAGTGAACATGTTTTTCTAGTGTGTCATGGGTTTCTACAATGCCCACAACTTCTGTCTTGTCTAGATCTTTCTCGAATATCCATATCGCAATGAATTCTATTGGATTTTGGACGACCACGCTCCCTCAATAAACTCATATTTGGTACAATCGGAAGCCAATCTTGAACCTCATCAGGGTCTTTGTCATTACCTATGGGGGGAAACTCAAATTTTTATACCTTAAAAACTTCAGATAGTAGATATATGGGATCCACAAAACGGTTATAGTCTTGACATTTATGCGAGCAAGCTGCTATCACATGAGAGCATGGATACTTCAGAGCTTGAAAAAACCTGCAGTCGCACGTTCTGTCCCTTAGATTTACTCTTAACGACACAACTTCAATCCCTTGAAGAGGTTGCGGCAGCTCTGTGACACGAAACATTTCATGTCTTCTAGAGAAGCTTGTTACAGACATTCTATTTGATGCAACAATTTTTTTTTCTGTATATCTGCAACTAATCTAGGGTGATAGACATGACCGTCTTGCATCCAGGTTTCAACTTGTCCCCCGAGCTTTGCAAAAGGCGCCCCCAAACGAAAATATGTAGTTTTTACCAAAGTCGCTACAGGTAAGTGACATACACCTTTAAGGTTGAATTGATTGCCTCAGCCAAGTTGGTCGTCATGTGTCCATATCTATATCCACCATCATATGCGTTCGTCCACATTTCTTTATCGATGAGGCTGATGTAATCGTATATTTCATTATTCTTCGCCCGTAAATCTTGAAGCATTGATTCAAACGTTCGAGGAAGTAGTTCGTAACCTGATAAAAAATGTATAACTTAATAACTTGATTTATTTGCAAAATTAAAATGATCAAAAATGTATAACTTACTAACTTGCTTTCACTTACCCATGCGCACAATTAATTGACGCTCATCATTCTTCTTGTACATTCCATGGTAGTTCGCAGCAATGTGTCGGAGACAATACCTATGTTAGACAAAGGGTGGTTGCCACATTGGACCCAAAGACTCCATTGCTGCTTTGATCCCAGCTCTCGATCTGAAATGACACAGATTTTCCCCCTCGTGATAACATGTGCACGTAAGTTTCGTAGGAAAAAAGCCCAAGAATCTGTATTTTCTCCTTCGACAAGAGAAAAAGCAACTGGAAGAATGTTGCGATTTTCATCTTGGACAACTGTCAATAATAAAACTTGCTTGTATTTTTCATACAAGAAAGTCTCGTCGATCTGGACTATAGGCTTGTAGTATTTGACAGCATTAACGCGCTGTGGGTAAGTGCAAAAAACCCAGTATGTTCGTTGTAAGATGCATCCCATTCGCCATGAAGTTTGACAATGGCATTTTATTTTGCCAACCAAGCTTTTTTATATGAGACATTGTACCCATACTGCGATTGTATAGCTGAAGTCAACACTGCAACAGCTATATTAGAGCTTGCTTTTACCATGGGCATGATGACTTGGCATATCACTTCAGAGTCCAAGTTGTGATGATCTTGGTTGACCCCTCCAGCATAATATGTGTGAGGACCGTTGTATACTGTTAGTTCTCATCTGTTGTTTTTCCTCTTCCTCTTCGATACGCGAACCATCCAATTGCATCCGTTTTCGTGTCGGGCACAGTAACATACATATTTTTTGGTCGTGGAGCGGTCGACTCTAGACTGAACATAATTACGAATATTGTAATTTTTGATAGCCATCATCGCTTCTTCCTTGGTTGAAAACTCCATGCCTAAAGATAACTCACCATTATTTATTGATGAGTAATATCCATAGTCACCGAGATAAGGCATATCCGCAAATTCTGGCCCGTACATTGCATCATAATCAGCTTTATATATGTGTGCTGGAGGGTCAGTTTGTGCCACATTTGCTGGAACTTCATCTACATCATCATCACCATCGGAGTTGAATTACGATGATTCTGGGTGAATGAATTGTCCAGTATCAGCACCATCTGTACCAGGTTCACGAAGCGGTTCTTCTGGTGGAGATGATGGTTCCTCCATGCTCTCCACATTTAGGTCGAAGAACCTACTAATGACATGCCTTCCCCTTGAACTAGAAGGAATATCTGGATTGAGATCGAAAAAGCTCGTAGTCGAATGCCTCCCCTTGGAGCTTGAAGCTATGATGTCAAATGGAAACTGCACAGATTGTTGCGTCGATGGCATCTCCATATTAAGGTCAAAGAAATTTGCAGATGAATGCCTTCCCCTCGAACTTGACGCGATGTTGCCATACGAATTATTCGTAGACCCACCTCGGTACATATCGTAAGGAGTTGCGTATGAATGTCTCCCCATTGAAGTTGATGTGCCGACACCATGATGTGGATTTCCCATTATGGCATTAAAATCATTACATATTACTGTAGTCGAGCTGTCAACTTGATCAACTTATTTAGCCAGCCCATAGTGTGAGCTTAATGGCTGACCCCAAACAGCACACACTTGAACAAACTTTGCATACATCTCAATATCGCCGTCTAAATAATTACTTTGAGAATCAACCATCATTTCAACATCATCATTGTTCGATAGTTCGAACGGTGTATAAATTAATGACAATAATGATGTTGGAAATTTGTGCTGCAACGACGACATTATTCTAATACTTCCAACATGAATCTTCCTCGAAATCTTCGTTATCACCTCCTCAAGAGTTATGTTTCTCTTGAATGATATTTTAACACGCTCATTTGATACGAAAACAACGCCAGTTTCATCTTCTCGAATTTCTCCATCATAATAAACAATAGCTGAAAGTCGCGTCATTCTTAGAGTTTAAAAGTGTAACAATATTATATCTGCAAAAAAAAAAAATAACTGAAACAAACCTAATTAAATAAATACTATATGACAAAAAATATAACAGAATAATTTTTTTACACATAAACGTAAATAATTTAAATAATATAATTTTATATTATTACATGCACTGCAAAAATATTTCGACGTATGCTCCTACTTTCTAATTATACAAACACAGAAATTAATTGAAAACAATTAGTATAATATTTTTTTCAAATAATTATATTTAACTATAAAATAAATATTATAACAAAATTACCTTATAACGAAAGATCGAGCAAATTTCTGATTCAAATATAAGATGATTGTCGGATGTTATTTACTGATTCAAAGGATTGTTGGTGATAGAGTTTACGGTAGACGACTATTTATAGCCGAGAGAGGATGCCTTAAAGCCGAGAAGTCTGAAAAAATAATACAAGACGCGGTCCTTGCACCGCGCCTTGCATTATGCATGTTTGATAATTAAGATAATTGAATAGCGCGGACGTGGCGTATGGCGCGACCCTTGTCCCGCGCCATACACACGTGTATCAATGTCAGCATAAGGTGCGCCTTATTACATGTAACGCCAAATTAACTTATAACGCGTTGCAAGGAACGCGCCTTACTGCAAAAAGTGTTAGATAAAAAAAATTTAATCTAATCGATATCTAATCAAAAATATTAAAATAAAAAGATAATTTTTTGAGAAAAAAACTTCATTTAACTTCCTTTTATTCATTTGGTTTTATAGATGGAGAGAGGGTAAGGGGGGAAAGGTTTGTTTTTTTATTTGTTTTTTTATGCCGAGAGAATAGGGAAGCGAGGGAAAAAAATCTTTTCAATGATAAGAGAGATGGAAGATGGAGACATGCAAACTATTCTGTAAGCGGCTCAATGGGACAGCTTTGCATAGTTATTGTTTGTTTAAGCATTTGTTTTTCTTTTTTGTTATTCAATTCTTTGTTTGGAAACTGCTCTTATGACCATTACTCTCCTTTCTTTTATTATCTCCGTCTCTCTCTTTGCGCATGACTATTTGGTAACTTACAGGTTAATCTATCTCTTTGTTTCTTGTTTAGAGTAATTCATTTATCTTCCATAGACCCTCTCTCTTATTCCCATTGCTCGAGTGGGGGTTTTCTTTGTTTCCTTCCTTCTCTCTGCCTTTCTTGAGAAAGGAGAGGTGAATAGCTTTAAGACAACTTTTCCCTCCTCTCATCTTTCATTTTATTGATAAGATTCTTTTAGATCTAAAAAGGTCTTTCGTTTCTACACGTTAGGTGAGCTCTTTGGTTGTGTTTTTATGTTCATTTGTGCTTGATCGTTTGATAATCGGATGAGATATGGACGATAGCTCTCCGATTTTTTTTTTCCTTTCAATTTATTGGTTTTGGCTTAAAAGGGTGCCTTTTCCTCCCAGAGTTTTTTTTTCCAGTTTTCAAAATCTGCATATCTTGAGGTCTTTCCTGTTTTAAAATCTAGCTTTTTCCTGTATTTTTACTGGATTTCTTGATCATTGAGACCGTCTCTCGTAATAGCCGGTTTTAGAGAGGTGGTGCTTACAGTTGCCATGTTTGACGTGAGATTCTCTATTGCATTTTGTGGTTGTGTTTGGTTTTGTTGTCTCCTTTCATTCTTCTTTGCTTTCTTTCGTTTGTACGGTGGCTTTGGGTTGGGATAGGAATGGGTAGGGTGCTGACTTCTGAGGGAAAATTATAGAGAAATAACCACAACATGAATGCCAATTGTTTATGTGTTTAGGTTTCTTTCTGTATGGTGAAGTCTGGAAGGTTTAACCTCATTTTATTTGTGTACCCGCGTTTTGCACTACAGCTGGATAGATGCTCTGCTAGTGGGTGCCTATGATTTTTTTTTGGTTTGGTTCCCCTTCAAACGCTTTATAATTTCCAGATTTAGTTGATACTTGCTAGTGCCCTTTTGTGGTAATATGTTTTCTTGACCGAGTTCAGAATGGTGGTTTCAAACTTTTGTGATGTATAGAAATGTCAATATTATGTGTGGATTACTTTGCCGCTAGCTGCAGCAAATTTGGTGTTATTTGTTGATGATATTCCGCACTGGAACAATCTGTTTCTTTGTTGAGAGATCCGTTTGGCTTAGTTAGTTCTTGTTGTTCTTCCTGTTACTGCGTTTGCTTGTAATTTATGTTTTCTGCTTTATTTTGCAGTTTTGTATTGTCCTTTTATTTCTATCAGATTTCGAATGCAGCTGCTTGCCTCTGATGTTCTCTGTTTGTGTTATTTATTTTCTTTTGCTTTTTCTTTTTTTTGGAAAGCATGCCTATACTTTTGAGGTAATATTTGAATGATATTGCTAACCCTGGTGAATAATTTATCTGCAACAATTTGTTTCTTGATTTATGAAGTGAAAAATGTACAAGGCGACATAATTCGTACTTGAATTACTCTTGCCGTTAGTAATCTGGGAATAGATTGAATCTAATGTATGTTACTTGTTTGTGTATTATTATAACTAGATTCTGTCTATGAATCATGTTCAGCGTCTGCTTATATGTTCTATTGGTGGCTAATATTTGTAATTTATATTTGTCCAGGACTTCACAGTAATTTGTTTGGAAGTTCATACAAGACCTAATGCATGGCCAAAGGGGTACTGTTGGTTTCTTTCCTGAAACCTTAGTAGACCATGGATCTTCATCAAGTAATGCTGCTATAGAACAGCAAGTATGTTGGAATAATATCCAAAATCCCATTGAAAGGAGATTGCCTGATTGTTTGCTTTCAACTAATGACATGAATATCGGACATGAGAACTCTATTGCTCGAGAGGAACATGAGCTGATTCGATGGAGCTTTGGAGAGCCTAACTCAAGTGGCACCCAGTGCGAGGCAATTCATAATGAGCGGAAAATGAACCATGGGTGGCCATCTTCCATGAGTGCTCCTGCAAGTTCTGGTCCTAGGTTAGAAGAGCGGCAGTATGAGCAGAAAGCTGTAGTTGGCCAAAGTTCCAATTCTAGTACAGTTCCCCAGGATATTAACTTAAATGCAAGCTTAATAGATAATGATTATGATAGCTGTCAAGTTATAGAACAATCTAATCTATATAAGCCTAGTGGACCAGAGAATGAGCGGATGTTAACTATTGTTGGTCCTGAAGCTTTTCTACATTCTTCTGGAAGTTGTGGGTATGCCGTTGGTGATAATGATAGCCGACCTGGTTGCTCGTATGAGGGCAGCAAAAGAAAGGCTATTGAAGGAAATGCTGGGAAGTCCTCATCGAGTGGAAGTTCTCACAAATTTCATCGAGCTGAAAATAGTGTGCGCCGTGGAGTTCCTTCTAGCTGTAGTGTTGGAAGCAGTGTGAATATATCTGCCCCTTCAGAACAGGTGCAACCTGGTCAAGGATTGGATGTAAGAGGATCAGCCTCTGAAAGCATTCATGAACCAATTGTTTTACCACCTGCAGAGGGTGCACAAAGGAATTTTTGCCGGAGACTAAATCCTTCAAGAATGCACCAACCTATTATTCCTCCGATGTTTTCTACAGTTGATGCAGCTAGGCAGTCTTTTGTTTCGTCTTATCGGCAATCAAGACGTATTCCAACTGATCCTTCTCTGGACATAAGGTCAGCAGCAGTGGCAGATAATGCAAGTGCACAAAACCCAAGTTTCGTAAACCGTGTTCCAAATTTGCCGCAAAATATGCAATCATTTAGGTTGAATGTAGGTTCTAGTTCAAGAGTTGACAGCTCATCGAGTTCTATCTTATCTGGGGATAGAGATGATGTACCACGTGAGGGCCATCAATCAAGAAGCATGGCTAGAAATCTATTAGATCATCATATGTTTGTTCGTGCACCGGAGTTGAGAGCTATGGCTAGAAATCCAACGAATCGAGGTTTAGGCACTGGAAATACAAGTGTTTCTGGAAATGTTGCTTCTACATATCGTGGTGGCTCAAGTTCTGGTACCAATGCATCATCTGCTCCCACTTGGGTTGCTCATCCCAACTCCTCATCCCAATACCCACGAAGATGGTCTGAACTTGTTCGTCGATCATCGATGTCGTCTTCCATTGGGGCTGAACCTGGAGGCAACGTCAATCATTCTCTTCTTGCTTCAGGACTTCCTACGTCTCCACAAGAGATGTTGCTTTCGTCTGGTGTAGCTAATCAGGGCCACCATCGTCAATACCCTAGGCCAATGTCATGGTTGGAAAGACATGAAGTTGGCTTGGCTGGAATTCCTCATTCATTGCGAACTTTAGCTGCTGCATCTGAAGGAAGAAGCAGGCGTCTCGCATCTGAGGTTTTTCCTATAAGGCTATAAGCCTGTAACTGCATTTTTTGCTTATTGTGATAGATTTTGCCTTTGCTTAAAAATGGAAACCTCAATTAATAAGTATATCTTAACCTTATTTGTACTTGATTTGCTTCTAATCTAACTTTAGTGGAGAACATGTGTATGTTTGTTTTCCCCTAGTTGCTTTTGTTTGAAAGAAATGCCATTGGGCATTGTCATCCAAAATGCTTACTACAGTACTGAACACTCATTCATCTGTGACACTTCAGTCTTTACTTTGATCACACAAAAGTAAAATTTACCTTGTGAAGTCTTTGTTTTAGCCGTGCACATTTTATTTTGCCAGCATTAAATGCTCTTCTATCTAAAAAAAATTGTCAAATGGATCTGACAGTTTGTTATGGGGCAGCTTCGCCATGTCTTGGATCTCATGCGTAGGGGAGAGCACTTGCGACTTGAGGTAATGTTTTATGATATATGTGTTGTAGTTTGATGTAGTTCTTTCTTTGCCTATTGAATCATGAAAGCATGAAAAGAAACTCCATTCCTTTTTATTTGTTCATGGACGAGAGTACATCTAAGCTTACACTGGCATTTTTTTTTCTAATACTGCTTGTATGGCAGGATGTTATGATCCTTGATCAATCTGTATTTTTTGGGGTAGCTGATATTCATGACCCGCATAGAGATATGCGGCTTGATGTCGATAACATGTCGTATGAGGTAATATATATCCTTGGCATCTAGTAAAAATAATTTCCAGGTGTGAATTCTCATGTTAGAATTATTTTGCGAGTAATAGGAGTTGTTGGCTCTGGAAGAGCGAATTGGAAATGTAAGCACGGGGTTAAGTGAAGAAACTATATTAAACCATCTGAAGCAACTGAAGTACTCTAGTACGTCAGGAGGTCAGCTAGGGGCAGAACCATGTTGTATTTGTCAGGTAATGAATTTTCTCATCTGTGGTTTCTTTGCTGATTCTATAAGCGCCCCCCCCCCTTTTTTCTTCTAAATTATTGTTTACAAATATGCAGGAGGAATACAATGATGGAGAAAACTTTGCGACACTGAAGTGTGGCCACAACTTCCATGCTGATTGCATTAAACAATGGTTGATGCAAAAGAACTTGTGCCCCATTTGTAAAACAACGGGTCTAACTAAATGAGAGGACATGTTTTCTGGCAATTAGTTCTTTCTCTGGTCAGAGAATGAAAGAACAGACACTGAAGTTTGTGGCTTAGCCTCTTCAAATGTTGCCATAAAGCAGCCTTCAAGTGTGTTCACTACGAGAAAATCCATGGCAATTCTAATTCGAATGCCAGAGGAACTGGCAATCATGTCAAACAAAGCAATATTCTGGGAATTGAAAGCTAATTTCTACATTTTTCATTCTATCGTTGCACTTGCATTATCAGTTTTATGTATGAATCTTCAGCCCATTGGCGACATAGATTATGTTCATGTTTTATGCTCTTTTTTTTTCTTCAATTTCATGGGTGTGGAAATCAGAGGTTTGGTCTCGTTGACAGCCATTTTCTTTCAACTTCTCTTTGGAAGTTAAATGGTAATCTCGAGATCTAAATTATTTGGAGAACCCTCAATTATGGACCAGGTGTGAAATGTCTAAATATCATAAATCTCGGATTCTAGATTGGTCTGTGGTTCAGTACTTGCTTGCACAGATTGGTTGGGGGGTAGGGGATGGTTTGTCAGAGAAATGATGATTTGACACCGACCATCAAGTTGAGTAAGGGTAATGCATTAAAGCAGGGTCTGAAAGCAACCTCCATAATTAACATAGCTTTTCAACCAGGCTAAAGCCCATACCTTGGCTTGAGTTGTTAACCATCATAGCTGAGCCGACTCTTGCCAATTTGTTTAGATGTTGATATATTCATCCTATTTGAGGGTTCACCTGTGAACCATGGAAGATTCCATATCATAACACTTGTGAAAAATATACCACTCGAGTTAGGCAGGTTCCCCAGCAGAAGGATATATCACACAGTACCAAATTCAGAAGAGAGAAAGTTGGCAGCTTCTGAAACCTCAGATCTTCGTATTCCCTTTATAATCTTACGAAGGAACATGAACTTAGAACAGTACAAAGCCAGAGGCATGGTGAACGTGAAAATGAATCTTTTGCCGATTGCTAGCGAACTCTGCACCGGCAGCCTCTGTACGTGGTAATGAAACAAAAAGGATCGTAATCTTGAAAATCCCATGATTTATTGGTGAAAGGTTGGCTTGTTTTCGAACACGCAAGTTAACAATAATACCTCGGGAATTGCAGTATTGGTAAGTCCTTTGCATTAATGCACTTTTCAGGCCAAGCTGACGTTTTTGGTTTGATAAGAATGTAAAGGCTGCTACTTGGCAATTTTATCAAAATAACACCCTAACAACGAAATATTACATGTAAGATATCATTTCTTCAAATATTACCGATCTAACACTCTTTCTGACAAAACGCTTATAATGAGGCATGTCTTCCCAGGTTTTGTTTGAACTGTGTCACGGTAGAAAAGTACGGATCATGAAAAGCGTATTCGCGGGGTTTTGTTCAAACTGGCGTTACGTAGCAAAGGCACAGATAATTAAGTGTGCCTTCCATTATTTTCAAATTATTGCACACTCCACTATTATCTAAGCCAACTCTCTTAGTCACCCATCTCCTTTCATATAAATACCCTCGAATGCAAACATCAAACCACACCAAAATTACTTTCACATTCTTTCTTCTATTAAGTTAAGTAGATTTTGTTATAGTTTTTTCAAAGGTAAAATTATTTTTTATTATATTATATTTATTTTATATTTAATTATTTGATCAAATTTTATTGTATTAATTATTTTGTATTATTTTTTGCGGTTGCAAAATGGAATGCAAGATCATATCTCGAGACATTTTACTGATACAATAACAATATTAAATTATGTTATTTAAATTATTGTGATTTTTTTATTTTTTTAGTATTAGTTTATATTTTAGTTTGTATACTATTCATTTAATTAGGTGTATTTCGAATATTATTTTTTTACATATATATGACTCTTAATCTTTCAAACTCTCAAAATGAGATGTATTTTAGATATTGTTTACTATGATGGAGAAATTCGGGAAGATAAAGCAGGTGTTGTCTTCACATCAAATCATTCAGTCAAAATATCCTTTAAGATAAACATCACTCTTGAGGAGCTGAACACTAAAAATTCAAGGAAGGTTCATATTGGAAATACTAGAAGATTGTCCTCACTTCAGTACAAATTTCTAACTACACTATTTCTGTTAACTTATACATCGTCCGGACTCTCCAACGATGACGATGTTGCTATGATGGTTGATGTTCAGAATCAAAATTCAGACGTTGATACACAAATGTATTATGCATTTGTTGAAGTGTCTGCGGTCCGTTGTATGTCATTATACTCCCACTATGGGCTTACTGAACAAGCTGATCAAGTTGACATCCCAACTTGAGTAATGTGTAATGATATTAACTCGTTAATGGGAAATCCACATCCTTATACCATCCCATCAAGTTTAATAGGGAGACATTCATCAACAACTTATTATGAACTCCACTGAGGTGACTCTACGAACAATCTGTATGATAACATCGCTTCTAGTTTAAGGGGAAGACATTCATCTTCCAATTTATTTGACCTGAATATGGAGATGCCCTCGACACATCAATCTATTAAGTACCCATTTGATACGATGCCTACAATCTCCAAGGGGAGGCATTCAATTGTGAGTTTTTTCGACCTCAATATGAAGATACTTGTGACACAACACTCAGTTCAAAATTTGTACGATATGATGCCTTCAAGTTTAAGGTGAAGACGTTCAACTACCATATTGTTCGACCTAAATATCGACATTATAGAGGAACCCTCATCTCCACCATAAGAATCTTTTCTGAGCCAGGTGCAGATGATGCTGAGACTGAACCATTCGCTGAGTCAGAATCACCGCAATTCAACATGGACTCCGATGATGGATGATGTAGATGAAGTTCCCACAAATATGGTATATACGAAGCCTCCAGCACATATGTATGAAGCTGACTATGGTGCAATGTACGGGCCAGAGTTTAGGGATATACCTAATGTTGGTGACTACGGATTTAACTCATCAGTCGATGATGGTGAGTTATATATCGGAATGGAGATTTCATCAAAAGAAGAATCGATGATTGCAATTAAGAATTACAACATTTGTAATTCTGTTCACTCCAAAGTCGACCTATCCACCACCGAAAATTATGTATGTTACTGTGTCTAACGTGATAAGGGTTGTAACCGGATGGTTCATGTTTTGAAGAGGAAGAGAAAAAAACAATATATGAGAACTAATAATATACAAAGGTCCCCATACATGTTGTGCTAGAGGGATCAACCAGGACCATTCCGACTTGGACTCCGACATTTTTTACCAAGCCATCATGCCCATGGTCAAAGCAAACTCCCATATAGCTATTGTGATGCCGATTCAAGCTATACATTCTCAATATGATACACTGTCTCCTACAGGAAAACATAGAAGGTAAAACAGAATGTCATTAAAAAACTTTACTGCGAGTGAGGCTCATCTTACAACGAACTACCAAGTTGGTTTAGGATAGTGTGTAGTCTGAATCATGGGACAATAGTGGACTTCAAAACTGGTCATGTATACCACAATGATCGAGTGATTCGTGATCGATGCCAATTCTACAGGCTTTTTGGACTTACTCACAGTGTATTAATGCTCTGAAATACTACAAACATGTGGTTCAAATTGATGAGACATTCTTGTATGGAAAATACAAGCAAGTTTTGTTATTGACAGTTGTCCAAGATGGTAATCGCAATATTCTTCTAGTTGCTTTTGCCCTTGTTGAAGGAGAATATACAAATTCTTGAGCTTTTTCCTAAAAATATTACACTTACATCTTGTCACGAGGGAAAAAATTTGTGTCATTTCATATCGTGGAGCTGGGATCAAAGCAGCAATGAAGTATTTGGGTCCAATGTGAAAGCCACCCTAGTCCAACATCGGTATTGTATCTGATATATTACTGCAAGTTATCATGAAAAGTTCAAGAAGAATGATGAGCTCCAATTACTTGTGCGGATGGGTATGTCACAATGTCTAATTTCATTTCTCAATCATTTTCATTTTTATGGGAATTTAACAGTAAGTACTACATTTGACGCTTAGGTTATAAATTATTACCTCAAATGTTTGAGTCCAAGCTTCAAGATTTGTGAGGAAAAAATGAGCACGAGTACAATTACATCAGCCTCATCAATAAAGAAATGTAGACAAATGCATACGATGACGGATATAGTTATGGACAAATGACGACCAACTTGGCTGAGGCTATCAATTCAAATTTAAAGGGGGCGTCATTTACCAATAGCAATTTTGGTTAAAATGACTTATTTTTCGTTTAGGAGCACTTTTTACAAAGCTCGGGGGATAAGCTCTAACTTGGATGCAAAATGGTCATACTTATCACCCAAGATTAGTTGTAGATCTACAAAAAAGAATTGTTACATCAAATAGAATGTCTGTAACAAGCTTCTCTCGAACTAATGAATTATTTTGTGTCACTGAAATACAATGACCTTTTCAAGGGATTGAAGCTAACTCGTTCAGAGTTAATCTACAAGACAGGTGGTATGACTGTGGGCTTTTTTCAAGCTCTAAAGTATCAATGCTCCTATGTCATAGCAGCTTGCTCTTATACCTTTCAAGACTATAATTGTTTTGTTGATCCCGTATACCAATTTTCTGAAGTATTTAAGGTATATAAATGTGAGTTCTCCCATAGGTAATGAGAATGACCCAAATGAGATTCATAATTGACTTTCGATTGTACCAGATCCTTCCTTTTTAAGGGAGGTAAGTCATCTAAAATCCACTCGAATTTATTGTGATATGGATATTCGAGATACATCCAAAGAAAAAAAAAGATGTGGGCATTGTAGAAACCTAGACCATAATAGGAAAAATGTTTATATCTTTTATCATCATGTAACTGTTGATGTTGTGACGATGTAATTGTTTTTATGAAACCTTGCTTTGTGTTTTTTTATTTTCGTTTTCTTTTAATTATTGTGTTACTCAAGTGATGTGCTACTCAAGTGAAAATTAAATAAAAACATTACAAACTAAAAAAATAAAAACAATTAAATAGAAACATTAAATGCAAACGTTACAATTCACACAATTAAATAATAAAAACATTAAGAAATAGAATAAATAATAAATCCATAATTAACTAATAAAAACATCAAGAAACATAATAAATACAAAATCTATAATAAAATAATAAAATCATTATGAAACAAAATAAATAAAAAGTCTATAATTAAATAAAAACATTAAGGGTCCGTTTGGTTCACTGAAAATATTTTCTGGAAAATGAAATCTGGAAAATGTTTTACAGAAATGTAAATCATTTTCCAGAAAATATT